AAAGAGTATATTCAAGGCATTAGCAAAGATAATATTTATTATTTGCAAGGACCACTTTAGCCTGTGTCGGCATTTAGTTTAATCAGGTCGTAGGCGATAGCTCGTCGGACATTTTTATAGCACCTACGTAGCCGTACTTGCGATTAAAAATGTAAATTTACTTCACAAACGAATTGAGATAGATTAGGCCATAAAAGTTTACTAATTCGAGTTTATATTAGGCACCTTTTGCTATCAAACAAGTTTGATGTAGATAAGTAAATTAGTAAAGAACATTTACGTATGTGACGTCGGAAAAGCACAACAGTTTTACTATACAATTTATCTTGGTAATGATTACATGTTATAACAAAGCAGAATAATGCCCGAGTGAGAGGTTGACGCAGATTATAGATTTGTATGTCGCTAGTAGTAAAATATTCTTTTGTAAAATCTAAGTTTCATTCATGAATTCAAGGTGTTATTTAATGAGGATATCTTTGATTATGATTAAAGTTCGTTATATTTTTATATTACAAGATGAAAAATAAGTAACCGGTCGAAATTCGTAAAAAGAACGAAGCGACCACTGCTCGTAGAGATCCGCATTTGCAGATGCGTTGCCTACCTTTAATAGACTAAAAAATGGACGCACATAAATAGAATATTTCCCCATAACTATGCATTTTATCCCCTGCCAAATACAATCCCTTTTTCTATTTTTTGCTTGTACATGAAGGGAAAGATTAAAATTAGGCGACAAGCACCTACATTCAGACGAAACTAATAGTAAGATGCACAGGTTACTATCGTATCTACATGTTACACTAATTCATTTCCCTATTTCTCATCCTTTTCTCAGTAAAGATATCATTGTTATTGTATTTATTATACGACAGTATTATGCGAGATTAAATTTATTGCGACATCTTAATGAAGCTAAATGAATAATTGTGCATATTTACAGGATATTATCTGACTGTTCTTAAACACTGCATCATTTCTCATAACGATTTATCTTATTTTGATAATTTTCATAAGTAAAAGTACACAAAACGATGCGCCAAATAAGGCAATTGTACGGCGTTTTGTATAACAGGTGATTTGATAATTTAAATAGATGTGATAAGGTTAACTCGCTGGCGAAATGACGTTAGTGTTTTGCGGAATGATTTACGATGGTAGTTGTAACGTAAATATTAAAGTGTTATATAAATTGGTTTAATCATGTCATTGATTGATTTAAACCAGAAATTAAACCTAGTTTAGGATTGATTCGTACTTAGTTGGCACTTTTAAGAAGGAATCGGCGCAACACTAGATTATCGGCATACACGTCCCATCCCTATGACATCTGTCAATGTCAATCAGAAGTATTGAGCATAGCGCGCCATTTTGGCGGGAATAATTTTCTAAGTGTTAAAGTTAATTACGTTGTTATAATTACATTATTACCTAAAATTACCTAAAGACAGTTGGAATATATTACGAAAAAAAACCTTGTTACTGGTTGCTAGTGCTACATAATTTGGTAGTCTCCGTGTCATGATCTCTTTTATATGTTCTCAAACTTCCTGAATTGATAGTTATGTGGTCTATGTCTGACATTAATTGATCGACCCACGTTTATACCAGCCCTATCATAAAGTGATGTCTGTGTCATTTAAAATTTCTAAAGCCTTGAATTTTAAAGCAGCAAGATAACGATTGACATTGGTCTGAAGCATTTCTACGTCATCGCAACGTTGCAGACTGTTTACCTTTTTTAAATATGACACAGTGTCAGATTAAGAATTAAGATGGTACTAAGTCAAGTTTACTTCCCTTTATTCCAGGTCTGGAAAATTAGGGCTATGTTGATTGATACCGAAAATTGGTATCAGGGCATTAAACATTTAATATTTTAAGATTACTTGGTTGGTGTTTTATTATATTAGGGGGATTCTTGGGATCAATGCTCGTTAATGTTTCAGTACATAAAATAATTTATGTATAACAAAAACATTTTACATTTAATTGTCTCTGAATACCGGAAAACATAAATTTTATTGCCCTTATTACATGTTAATCTTTTAATAATTTTATGAATTTTATAACATTTACTATTGCAATATCAACAAGTTAGTGTTGTTTCGTGTTAAATAATGATGTTGCATCATTTCGTATATGCAGTTGTGAGTAATTCTTCGATCGCTTATATTTACTCTATATTTTCTTGAAGATGCTATTGGTTAGATGAAAATAGGCAAGATATGCTAAAAAAAAGAAAAGCTGAGCATTTTTCTTGAGAATTCCTTAAGAATTTATTTCCTTAAACGTGGTAAATATTAAAGAATTATAACTCAATCCACTTAAAATGTTATGCAATTGTTATCGCTTTCAGATACGGCCTTATACGTTTCTAATGAGTTAACAAATTAGAAGACCGATTTAATTAAGTTTGGTGTTACGTAATGTATCTATTACAACAACTATTATTACATATACAACAACTATTTTTAGTCAACTTTAGTTTAATAACCACTCTTTTTTTTATTAATATAGGTACTATTTTAATGCCATCACTTTCAAGATAAACGTTAAACATTTGCGCAAGACTGCCTGGCGCCACATCTTCTTACCGTGTTCTTTCTTTTAAATATTAAAGCTAGTATTAACAAATATTCATTGCGTTTGTTAATTTTTTTTTGTATCTTCTAATAGCTTAATTTCCAGTGTGTCCCGTATTAAAGGGACACTTTCGTAATCGTGTAAAAATGTTATAACGTCATGGACCATACTCTACTTCAATAAACATTTGTTCCGATTACTATTATTTAACTATTGTGTTAACCTGGATGTTTAGGTTATCTTTTTTTTAGTATAATACTAGTCATTAGTTTACTTTCAGAAGGTAAAAGTGTAGTCCTGTTTGTTCGTAGTTAAATATATTTACAAAGACGTAGGTAGCTTAACGGGTTAATCTGAGAGCAAATCTGTTGCTATCACAACGATTTGGCTCACAATGTTATCGGTGTACAAATATTTGCAGCATCGCCGTCGGCAGTTACGACCTTGTTCCGCAATGAATCTGTATTAACCTAAAATAACGAACGACTGCAAACAAAGGTATCGTTATTTATAAGAGCTTTAAGCGGTATTACTATTGCAATGTAAGTAGGGCTGCAGCGTATTGTAAACATCGATAACCATATTTGGAGTTCTAATTATATGCTAGCCTTACTAATTGCTTTTTAATAGTATTTGTTGAGTTGTGTTGATACCAAATATTTTTTATATAGCTCTTTGAAGAACCAAGTCTTGTAAGAATTTGTAAAGATAAAAAGATGCAGAATTATCTGAAGTGATATGAATTTTGTCTTGTTCCCAACCGTCACCCCGCTCTGTCCCGACGTGAGAATAAAATTATTCATCCGTTCCACCTTTTAGTCCCACTATCACCAATAAGGTGACAGATGGAACCGTTATGAAATAAAATAAGTTCCAACCGACCCTCATCGCACAAGGTGGGAAGGATGGAACTTTTTTTCTCATCTGTTTCCACATGGGGACTGAGCGGGGTGACGGTTGGGAATAATACACTTCCAGAATTAAAACTAAACAAATGTAAGGATATACCTTTTTTGGGCAATTTGTTGAATTGGCGACCATAAGTAATTTTCTTCTAATCTCTTAAAGATAAATAATTTAATTAAATATAAAGTTAGTAACTTAAAATAGATTCTGTTTATTATTATATCGATATTTAACGCTATTGATATGTAAATTAACATCCCTAACAACTAACAGTACGTGACAAAGTAAATGAGCGTCCCGATACCTTTCTTGCGCGTTTGCATACGTTTTACAATATGCGCATAATATTTTCTGTTAATAAATGATAAGAGATTCTATTGTTGATGCATTGTTTGGAAGCATGGCTTGTTCGGAGTCCGCATGCTCGCGCGTGATGTTCCTTTGTAGTTCATCTAACGTTTTAATGATTCCTACACAAATATGTTTTATGACTTTGTTTAGTTATAAATACTGAAGTCCTAACCATATCGAAGATAACATATTAACTATGCTTCTTTAATATTTTTAACTTAATATGGAAAGACGCCAAAAAGGTAGTTTAATTTTGTCTTTACAAGAAACATTAGCAGCAGCAACAAACCGACAGTAACTTGACGTAAATGGCTTGCCCAATTCGATGTGATAACTTAAAATAAATGTATACTTGTTAATGAATTTGACTATTTTCCGGATTTGTTTGTTTCAAATTTAACATTTCTAAAAATAACGAAGACAATGTATTAATTCGGTATTTCAATTGCCTATGCGAATAAATAACATTGTTCTGATCAATCCACGTCATTGTTACTTCCGTTTCCCAGTGTTTACCGCATAGATGTACAAAAAAGTCTGGAAGTACACATAGGCTATGAATTTGTTTTTATTTTAATTCTGCGCGGCAAGAGTCGCGGGTAAAAGCTAGTAATAGTAATCCTATTTTTCACTTGTCACAGTGACGTGATTAGTTTGGTGTTACATCATCCCATATCTTTACTGATCGGTGGCAATGCTAGACAAGGTGACTGATCTACTTAGCCACCGTAAAGAGGCAGATCTTGGCCTTGACTATGTATTTTATTCGCAAATATTTTACCACCACATGCAAAATGTACTAAAACGTTAGGTACTCATAGAATATAACAATAATTTAGATATTTGGCACGAGTATATTTACCTATTCAAATACGGATGTTTTTATGATATCAACTAAACGTAAATCTTCATTAAAATATGCAATTACGGGATATATACGGGAAATATCCGTTTAAATTAGACCGACAGATATGTTTAAGTATAATTAGAAGGTGAACAAACCCAGAAAAAAGGTATAATGACGATGGTATTGGAAATGACGCACGATTGATTTGATTTCGAGTACCAGTTATACCGCAAACAGTGCAGTGCTCTCCCTGCACTGGGGGAACAATTGCCTAATGTTTTTAATGTATGATCAATGTCGTTTCCAGACAGAACGTGGCGCTGGACTGTCCGTCACTGGAAAAAGGAGATGTGTACACGCAGTCGGAGTTTCTCTCGCGGCTTGCACACGAGTGTCGTTATGACCGCCTGCTCCTGCCTACTTACCAGACCGGTGAAGTGGTCTATGTCCACGCTAGTGCCTACGTTTACTTCATACAGCCCGCTGAAGCACACGATTTGGTAAGACTGAAAATTATATCGGACTTTTTACCTATAGCATTCAGAAGTCACGGTAATCTTGTGAACACATTTAGTATGGAAGAGAACAATTTAGCAAAAAGAAAGTTTTATTTAATGATTTATACTCGATTTTTCTTGTTCTTACAGAATTTCAAATTGCACTTCCTTCTACAACTACGCTGGACGGATGCGCGTTTAGCTTACGCGCTATATTCTCCGGAACGAACGAAGATTATCGGAGAGAGCGATCTGAGGCAACGTATCTGGGTGCCTCACTTGTATATGTCCAATGAACAATCGTCGAGCCTTATGGGTACTGACAGCAAAGACGTCCTCATCTCTATAGCGCCTGACGGTGAAGTGCTGTTCAGTAGACGTATGCAAGCTGTATTATACTGCTGGATGAATCTTCAAAAGTTCCCCTTCGACGATCAAACTTGCTCTATGAATTTGGAAAGTTGTAAGTGTTGTAAATTTTTTTTTAAATGTATATATAAAATACATATTTAAAATAAACATCCCTAAAGTAAAAGAATTCAGTGCTATTATATATCGCAGGAGTTTGCCAAATTAAAGTTAATTTTTTTCTACATTTATTGAAGTCCCATAGTAGGCTGGTATGACGTTAGAAAAGAGGCTTTATGTAATGTTTACGGTAGTTTACGTGTAATTCACATGTTTGAAAGCCTGTAATACCTTTCTTTATTACAGGGAAATACAACGCTTCAATACTACGTCTAATGTGGGAGAAAGATAACCCGGTCCGGCTATCATCAGAGCTACATTTAACAGAATATTCGCTGCTGGATTACTGGACGAATGAATCAGTAGTGCGAGGCGACATTGTGAACATGCGTTTGGGGGGAGGTAGATGTAATGTCTTTTAAGTGTTCGTGCCGTTTCTCTTACTGAAGCGCAGAAGAACTGTTTATTTAAACCTTTTTCTTTTATTTCAGCTGGCAACTACAGCGCCCTTAAGTTTACCTTTAAATTGGGTCGTGAAGTTGGTTATTATCTGATGGATTACTTCATACCTTCGATGATGATTGTCGCGATGTCGTGGGTCACTTTCTGGCTACAGGCAGATGCCTCCGCTCCGAGAATTACCTTAGGTATAAATTTAAAATATTTAAATCCTATAAAATACTCTATACAACAACTTTTTTGCGTACGCTACTTCTCTGGATTACTTTTACAGGGTTTCTACATTTTGTTTGTGTGCAAATTATGTTATTTGACTGCTAACGTTTATATTTTACGTTTCAGGAACAAGTACTATGTTGTCATTCATTACCCTAGCGTCATCTCAGGCAAAGACGCTACCAAAGGTTTCATATATAAAAGCAAGTGAGATCTGGTTCCTAGGGTGCATTGGATTCATTTTCTCAGCTCTCGTAGAATTCGCATTTGTTAATACTATTTGGCGAAGAAAGTATGTATTGCAACATTTGATATAGCACTTCTAAATAATTCTTTAAATGTTTGTGCAAACAACCTGAAAAAAAAAATTCTCAAGTAAAAATCCCCGATTGAATAATTATCATTGCTATTATAATCAAATTATCTAAATACGTGAGAAATTTCAACGTAGAATGAACTTTACAGGAAGGTAGTAAGCTTGAAGAAGGTGAACAGCAAGTACATCTTAAAGAGCACGCTAACACCACGGCTAGCGCGGCGTGAGCTGCAGAAGGAGCTACAAGCTTCGCCGCAGCTCAGCAAGTCGCGGTCCTGCTCCTCGCTGCAGCAGGAGACCAGCAGCGACCCCGCCGGCCCTGGATACAACAACTACCTCACTGTGCACGTGAGTCATCGCTTCTATCTATACGCCGTTTGATTGATAATTAAATTTGATATATGAAACAGTTTTAAAAATGATTACCTCATTTATTTCAATTTTAAGGCTACCAATGAGTTATTTATTTGCTTCCAATAAATTGCTTCCGTTTGATTAGTTAATTTTCTTATGTTTGAGGTCGGATAGATACTAAATTTTAACTAGTACGTTAAGTCAAGTAAGTATGTTTAAGTTGTTTTTCTTGATTTCAAGCAACTATACTGGGATTTGGAAGGTATTGTAACTATTTAGTCCGGTAAATGTTTTACGCTTTTATATAATGTTTAAATAGACACATCCAGTTGGTTTGTGACAACTGTAAGCTGATTTAATGAAAATTTTGAAAGTACTAATGCTTGCGTTGTAAGAGTTTCATTTAGGTTTCTCAACAAAACATTAAAATCCATCATAATATTTCAGAGTTTCCCGTCAGCGCTGAACTTGCCAACTATAACGACGCAGAGCTACGACGACCTGATAACAGGGCAAGGGGGTCAGAGAGCGGGCGGCAGCGAGGGGTCCGACGAACCCCCCAAGCACCACACGTGGACGACGATGACTCCCCAGGAGATTGCCACTTGGATCGACAAACGTTCACGAATCTTATTTCCTTTGCTTTTCATCTTCTTTAACATCATTTACTGGACTTTTGTTTATTGTCTGTGATCTTGAACTTTCAATATTTCTTACCTTCTCTATATAGACGTTTCCCGGTGGATCGATTGGCCTACCGAAAAATTGGCCCTTTGGGATTTCATTTCCGATTGGGTCGTTTAATTGTATGAATTAAATCGGCCCAATGGTATTTTTCCCGAACCATACGATCGGTGGGCTAATCGGCCCAACGGGAATCGCCCCTGTTAAAAATGTAAGGTGCTAAAAGTATTCTTCGTGCCTGACATAAAACCACTGCTTCTTTGACTGCAGAATTCTTGTACTAACTACGTCATATTCTAATACTGTTGAGGTGAACGTTCTAGAAATAATACCTTCGAAAACGTCATATAATAAAGTATTTAAACAGTTAAACAGACCTAACGATTTTGTTTACGAAATGCTTCATTTGATACAATTGAATGGACTACTTTTTTAAACTTTTTTTTTAATTAAAAAAGAAAGGACATTACCAATGTGAGACATAGAGCAAACGCTAGTAGTAAACCTACATATTTAGGCTATATATTTTATCTTATTAAAGTCGCAAGTACGCGAATACTTGTTGAACTTGACTTTGTTTAAGATTATTATTATAAATGGAAATGACGGTATAAAATACACTTGTTTTACACCTTTTGTGAGCATCCATAAAGAGGAAACCTTAGAAATTTAAAAATATGTTTTTTTAGTATTTTTGTATTTTTTAAAAAATGTCAGATATTTAAATATATAAGATGAGCTAAACTAAATATTGAGTTGTATGCCTACCTAATTGAAAATTATAAAAAAAAAGTATTAAAAGGATTAAGATGGCAACATATTTTTGTGTGAGTGTATAATTATAGTAAATCCAATAAAATAATGAACTTTATTATAAAAAAATAACTTATATGTAAATTAATATAAATTTTAGAAAAAAATAATTTATTTTGTAATTTCAATTCTAGTATTATTGAATAGCCAAATTTATTGTAATACCAATGTTTTAATTTACCACTAATAGTCAAATAATTTTATTATTAGTCAGTACTTAATATTTATGATTTTTAGGAAAATATATAAAATAATATAATTTTAGATAGTACATTTAACTATAAGTAAGATGATATTGCGTTATATACGTAATAACGTTAAGTCAAATGATCTTTTACAATTTGTTTGTACATATCTCTTATATTTAAGTATAGCCACATATCAGAGAAATATCAATATTTTATGCGTTGTATTACCATTGTGAATTAAATATAAAATGTAATAAAATGATGTTTTTTCTTTTTTCTTTCTGGCAACACAAACGTTACATTCCGTATGTTATGTTGCCAGACTTTTTACAAGCGCCTCGATTCATTTTTGATCTATGAATCCCGTTAGAGTTTAAAAATAAAACATTTTATGTTCATAGCAATCTCTTTATTTAACGAAATACTTAAAACATAACTATGCATATATGTCAAAAATTATAACAAAACACAAACATGAACATTAGTAGATATAAAATTAATATTTATTAACCTAAAATATAACAATGACTAGATCACTCGATGTAAAGTTGAGGTCAAACCATAATCTATCACTCAGTCTAAAATGTGGATTAATTTTTATCATGCAAGAATTTAACCAGTTATTACATTCATATTGAGAAAATCACAAATTCAAAATCTCAAGACACAATTCATTCTTTTTAAACAATTGCTGAAATACTCAAGTAGGCGTCTGATTTAATAAATTCACATATAGGACTATACGTGAACGATGAAAGCTGACTTCATACAAACTGCCCTTTAATTGTGCGTTCCAAGGAACTAGTATTCTCAAATTTTAATCCATCTCTGATATTCGTAAGAGTCGTTCAAGGCGCTGCTTCACTGCGACGAGGCGCTGCAATAACCAGGCTGTCATCACTCGCGTATCGTTTCAGTGTCGATGCACTAGTATTACTGAAATACAAAAAAGTGAGCAAACAAAATATGTAGAAAGAGTTACATATACACAAGGTACATTGTACCAGGCGCCCATGGCTACCTGTACTTGGTGCGAGGTCGCGGTGTAGGCGCCAGTCGCGGCAGGCGCGCGTCGATTGGTACTGTGCCCCCGGAGCCCGAACTGGAGCCCCGCGCAGACCCACTAGAACTGCCCGACCAGCCCAGCTCTGAACTGCTGTTATATTAGAATTTATCTTTATTTTCGGGACACATATAAGATAAGTATCACGATTCTGAATACGTGAACTCTTCCGTTCTCTCCCCAATACTTGCGTCTATAATAGAATTAAATGTCACAATCTCCTAAACTGTATGCCATTTGTTCACCGTACTATGTATTTACTTTCAATGTAATTTTATATCTATACTTATAAAAAGGAAAGATTTAGATATTTGTTTGTAATAAAATAACTCAAAAACTACTGGACCAATTTAAAAAAATCTTTTTTAATTTACGCAGGCGAAGTCGCTAGCAACAGCTAGTACAGTATATTTAAGTGTCAAGGATAAAATGAAATGCTGTCCAACTTTGTTGTTTCCTTTTCAGATCACATGTCATTGAGGTCGTGTAGACTTAGTATTCCTTGCCACCCTCGTATTACGAGTCCAAATTCATTCACACGAATGGGTATTGTTTGGTTGCCTCTCGCATTGGTGGCGGGTCATTAAGATACGTGATTCGATTAAACGTTGCGATTAATAGCAGCAGTGTTGTTGTTAATCTATAGATATATATCTACAGATATTCCAAATCAATACCAAGATACAAGTATCAAGCAAATTGTTCTACTCAAATTTCTGAAGCGTAATTCGAAGTGTTAGGTTACAATTTTACTTTTATACAACATGAAGATTTGAAAACGTTATCAAATAATATTAAAGGATATTTATTAAAACAGTAGGCAACAATATTAAAACAAAGACCTGGCGGAGATGGGCGGCAGCAGGTAGGGCGGCGTGTAGATGTCGTTGGTCTCTGTGTAGGTGGAGGCGTGGATCTCCTGCTGGTACAGCTCGTACAGCTGCGCCAGCTCCGGCTGGATGCCCACGCCTAACTCTGTACCATCACAAAATAATGTATTAAGTTGACATTGAAGTAGAAGTAGACGTGGTTATTGATGTCCGTAGCATCAGTCAATACCTTTTTTTATTCTACTAACTTTTGTTTTCTTTTTAATTCCGCGAGGACGGAGTCTCGGTTGAAAGCTTCCATAAATCGACGCTTACCGTAGTGATTATCCAGTTTTTTATGATAGCATACCTTCGAGAGCGCGTCGTTGCCTGGTAATGATCTCGTCAGTGAGGCGGCGCTGCGCGTCGCGGCGCTGCAGCGCGAGGTCGCGGCGGCGCAGGTCGTGCGCGCGCGCCGCCCGCTCGCCCTGCAGCGCCAGCTTGTCCGCCTCCAGCTCGTGCACGCGGCACACCAGCGCCAGCACCTCGCGCTCCGGACCGTTGCCGATGTGCGCTGGCAGCTCCTGGCATATTATTCGTTGACCCAGGAACAGATTGAACGTTTTTCTCTCTCCTTCTTATCTAAATCTTTCCTCTACCTCGTAATAACAGAAAGACTAGGTATTCCTGCCCACTGTTGAAAGTTACTTAAGCAGTATCTTAGCGAGTGCTAACCTGTTCTAGCTGTGCCCCGCGCAGTCGCACTTGCTCGAGCTGTCGCTCGACGCGCGCGCGCTCGCTGCGAGCCGCCTCCTGCTCGCGCTCCACCGCCGCCAGCTCCGCCCACGCCTGCTCCACGGCCACCTCCGCCTCCGCGCGCTCGCCCACACTAGACACGCTGGAGGCTACGGACGCACCTGTACCACCCCTTAATACCAAAAACCGATTTAGTTGCGTATGAGTAGATACTACTGAAAATTCGCGTATAAGTATCACTCCGAAAGAATTGCTCTGAAAAAAATTGCAAAGCAATTAATCGTGTGATAAAACAAAAAAAACGAAGTTAAGACAAAGTTCATGATTTAAAGTTGTTTATAAAAAGTATTTTTTTCTGAATATCCTCATTTTTACCAACAACATTGTATAATAGCAGGTCATCTTACACTTCTAGACTGTCATGAAAACGTAAGTAATTTATCACCTGTAGCTTTGTTGTGTGCTAAGCCTGGCGCCGATACTGACGGGCTTGTAGAGTCTGTTGAACCTCGCCTCCCAGTGCGAGATGGCGGCGTGCTGCCGCTCGGCGTCCAGCGCCAGCCCCAGCAGGTGGCTGTCCAGCTCCATTAGACGCCGTCGTAGCCGCATCTGCTGCTTGAATGTTGATACGATCGCTTCTCGTAACGATTTCAAGTGCGGAACGCTTACTGGCTCTTCGACATTCACGTCATTTGCTTCTGTCTTCTGTTCTTCTTTAGTCCTACTACAAGAGATTTTTTTTTATAATGCTATACGATCAATATTTTTGTGAATATTTAACATAAATAGATTGTACCTTGACCGATCATCTTTCATTTTGAATTTAAGACGCGCGATTTCTTCTCGTAGCTCGTTGATAACCGTTCGATATTGTGACAAGTGCATCGGAGTCTCCACTATTTCACGCTCCACCTAGCATTAACGTACGTAACTTTTAAATAAAGTTATCATTAAAAAAATTGTTTTTATGATTATTGCTAAATTCGAATCTCTCCCACTTATATTGCGAAAATGCGAAAGTTTAGATGGATGGATGTTTGTAAACTGCCAAACGGATCACGATTAAATTTAACAAAGATGTAGAGCATAATCTGAAAGAGCACTTAGGCTATATGCTATTGTTTTTTTGTTTAATTCCACGCGGACGGAGTCGCGGGCAAAGACTAGTATTATTATAATTGTAAGGAGGTATAGGAGATAGTTTGTACTCTGTTGGTGATGGCCGCAGCGCGCTGTGCGTAGTGCAGCGTGGAGCGCGTGGTGTCGCGGTGCGCGCCGCCCGCCGCCGCGTGCGCCACCATCACGGTGCGGCAGCGCCCGCCCAGCACCTCGCGCAGCAAACGCGTCAGCTTCGAGTCGCGGTAGTTCACATATCTGATCACACGGATTGTCCAATGTTGTTATATTTTTTTAGTATCAGTTGTTTGCCCTGAGATAGCGTGCATTTATGTGCATTGATTTCTAGATCGCGTTATAGAAGTTCGCGGCGAATAAGCAACCTCACGCAACATGTTGCAATAAATTGACTTCACTATCACAGAATCGGTGTTTTATTTTAAAAACATGAAGTATTAGCAAAGTTCCCTTTTACTAATGTAAGGGCCTGCCCCACCAATAGTAAATTTTCTGATACCAATCCAACGAGTAAAATATATGACGGAAATATCGGATTTTGTAACCTTATCTGACAGTGACGTAAGCTACCTGAGCCTCTATCAGCAAGTGGTAGGACAGGCCCTAATTCACTATAGCCTGTCATTCATTCTATTTATTATTTTTTGTATTCACTTATTCAATCTTACAATTGTCAGAACTTACCTAGCGCCACCTGAAAGCGCCATGATGCAGTTACCCAAAGCCAGTAGGGATCTATTTATATGTGCTCCTTCCAATCTTCTGGAGCGCAGTCCCGCTCTCTCGGAGCCGGCCAGATCGATAAGGAACAGACGACCACGCTGTACACCACCTTCCACCTTTTTACTTACTGACACGCTGAAAATAAAGAGATCACTGAATGATTGAGATAATTTAATCAAATTTGTATTTTTACATATGGAATCTACCATTAACATAAATACTGTAAATTCTTTGTATGATAATATCTCAGTAGCTTTAGATTAGAGAAATAACCTTAGGAGGGCGTGACCTCTTGAAGAGTGTTGGTTAGCGTGCGTGGGCTCCGCGGTGCGGGCGCGGTCGCTACGGGTTAACAGCTCGGCCACGTGCGCGGCACCTAATGCACGCACCTAAATCAAACACATTACAATAACAAGATATTTTGAAACAAAATCAACCATATCGTAACTCATCAACTGGTCGGGTTGAACAGATAAACATGAGAATGTTAATCCTATCCGTCGGGTAAAATCTAGTTAAAATACGTACCTCACTAAGTCCCGCGACGACGGGTGCGCCGTTGCCGCCCTCGTCGCGTAGCTCCAGAGGTCCCGCACCCGGGTTGAGCAGGTCGCGAATGTTCTCGTTGTAGATCTCAATGTAGGACATCTTTACCTACAACATGACATAAAAATCGCTACTAAAAATTAAATAAAAAGGTCATTAATGGAATGCTCTAGAGACTTTAGTAACTATTGCTATAAAGCGTCCTATCGAATCCTTAAAAATTGTCGTTATAAAAAAACTTGTAACAACAAAGTATTACAAAACCAAAGTATTTTCTATAACTAACCTAGAATATTACAGTTCAATAACAAATTCCAGGATTACATTAAACCAAATTACAGGTTTGATTTATTTACACTTTCAATGTACTACAAATGACTGCAATATCCATAACCTGTATAACGTAAATTAATGGAAATTTCCCAAACAATACATCATACATTTACGAGACATAAATGTATGTTCGATGTGAGAAGCGTCAAAATCAATCAATATTAGTAGGCGGCTAGCGCTGGGTGAGTATTTAAAAAGTGGCGGCTAACGACCGCTAATGATTAACCTTCGGAAGCAACATTAAATATTTACAAAACAAACGTTTACTTTTATTACAAAAAGCCTTTATTGAAATAAGTCTTTATTATGGTCGTAATATTCTGCTGGAGCTGTCAGGCCTCATATTCTAATTGTAGATTGCCACAGACACATAACAAAACACATTATTGATCTCTTTGTTTTATCGAAAGTAATAAGAGAGTGACAATATTTCCACGTAAAGACAAAGTGAAACGCGCGGGACTTCTCGATAAAACTATTCAAAATCTTATTGCAATAACAAGATTCGTTTTTAATTTTTATTGAAATACATTTTGCAAAAATTAATTCACACAAATATTACTTAAGAATGCAGCTAAAAATTTGCAGCAATAGCGCAACATTATACAGAAGATTTCTATCAGAAATGCCGCATGGCACCGTTCGCCGAAACGTATCGTAAATTTCACTAATGCATGGACAAGTCACGTTATCACGAAAACCGAAATGCTCGCTACAGTTACTACTTCAATTAAAACGATATTTAAAACTAAACCTAATCCTTGACATATATAACTTTTTATAAACGAACGTTAAGATAAAGTTATATTGATTAAAAACCCACCTTTAAATTACTATTTAGAAATGTTGTATTCAAGATTATTAAAATTGTTTTAAAAGTGACTTTTTATGTCCATGATCATTGTTATGCTTTCTTTTGCCATAGATAATCAAAGCAGTGAATCACTATAACTTTTTAATAGTAGGTCTAGGTCACACGAACATTGTCATGTAGGTATGAAGGGGTTAGCATTGTATTCAAAAATTTTGCAAGGATATATTTCGGGAGTCTTAACGCGTCAAGGCACTTTATAACAATGTAAGGATACGAATAATGCGAATTATTAATCGTTATAATCAGCAAAATACTTTTTAAACATGTGACCGAATACAAACCTTTTTACAAAGAACCCTTATTGTTGCTGATACTTTGCCCGTGTGAAATCAAAAAATAATACAAAATATAGCCTATGTTACTCACAGATAAATAATCTTTCTAATGATAAAAGCATTTTTAAAATCGGCCCAGCAGTTTTTGCGGGAATTAAGCACATACAAAAATACAAATCTTTCATATTTATACCACTAGTATAGACTATAGATATAGACTAAGTGCTACAGACATGCTGGCATTTGCATGGCATAAAAAAATCGTAGCGGCGTAGAGCGTGTTAAATTTTACGTTAGCGTGTCCAGTTACCTAAAGTTTATCGAGCCCGGTCTCTTAAAACAGGGTGAGAATAATTTAACGATGCCCTATTCGAGTTAACTTGATGACGTCAATGAGTTTGACTGACTTCAAGGTCACGCCTCTTGTTAACCGTTACGATATTTATTACATAAACCGTACTTATTATGTACCTATATTATTAATAGTTCGTAACTTCACTTGTGTTTCCATATATTCGACTGACACAACTTTCATAATTCATTATGCTAGTAACTTAGTGGCATGGTTTCTGAACTACACATCAAGTGGTAGTAGAGAAGGGTGGTATTAATAAAGAAATATGAAACGGAATACTAAAACAGTGAATGTCGACGTTAATGGCTTTAAAATGACTTCGTAGCGTTATGGTAATATATTTTAAAGTCCGCCTTCTTCCTGAATAGGCTTTAAATTAAAAATGCATAGCCATTAGCCAACTCTACCTTACATCTGCAACGATAAAATACACTTTAAATTGCAGACCCTTTGAAACCATAGATACGTAGTACTGAGGACTCAAATTTATTACTTTTTAAGTTATTTCTCCAAACAAAAATTTCGATATCGAATAAGAGAATAATTGAAGAAGTTGTTGATAAATAATAAACGGTCATCGGACGTGTTAATAGTGTAAGTCGATGGCATTAGGAGGCATTAGGCAAGGAGTAGGTGTCAATCACACTGCCCTTAGCCAATGACCTTGCCCTGTAGCCCCTCGCGTTGCGGGTGGGATCGAAACACGTGCCACCCCAACTAAACTTACCACCTAAAGCTCGTGATTCTGAAACATCAATTTCGGTCTAATATATTATGAATAACTTATTTCTTAATTTTCTAATACTAATACAAAGTATTATATTTCGTAATACTAAAATTAAATGTAAGTATAAAGACATTGTAATTTTTTTTAATGTAAATAATTATCGTTTTAAGAAACGTTTAACATTTATATTTCTAGGCATTTTTAAATCAGTAAGAACAGAACTTAATAGTATTGGAAATTCGTAATCTCTGCTTACATCTGAATAATAGGCGTGAATGTATCTTATATTTACGGTTTTCATAGAACTTCACGCGGCGTTCACTCAAAACAATGATATCTAAATTAAATCAACTGGGGGTGATTTCATAAAGCGATATTGTATAGGTGTCGACAAACTAGTCGACAAATAAAACCACAAAGCTTTGTACTTAATTTCCGTTTTGTTTTGTAAAGCGAAACACGAAAAGTTTTCATAGATTTGACAATAGCCGACAAAAGTCTAACTTTTTATCTATAAATAAAATAAATAAACAAAATAAAAAAGCCTTTTATTCCCATGCCATCGTTTACAAAAGTTTACAAAAAATGAATGGTACATGTCTAAATATTGTTATTTATAAATTACATACAGATATATTAGATTATCCATAGCCGAATAAATATATGAAAGGTTACACTTTACTTCTTTCCACTGTTTATTTACTGGACTGGACTGTTACTTACTGGCTTCATTGCCGCAAACATGGACGTTCAATGGAAAATGGATTTTGGCGGTAAATGCCCTCTTAGAGAATCAAAGATATAAAATAGAGCATGGTGTGTTACCAGCGGCCGCTTTATTCATAGTATTTCCTAGAATGCCTTACAAATTTAAATAGCACTGTAAAAGATTGATTGTTAAATGGCTTCCTTAGCCTGCGTTAAATAAGGATTTTAAAACTACTTTTATTACTAAATAACGTTTGTACTACGTTTCAATACTTCCGTACAGCCACGGAAACGGTGTACTGTAGACCGCATAAATAATGTCTGATTATGTCCGGTCAAGGTCAAGAATATCATTTGCATGAGGGTGAATATTTACTTCAAATTCTTAATACATTCCAACGTAATACACTTTATATTATATGTTTTATAAACTACATAGAAATAGCTTATAGGACTCATAGCCGCTGCAATTTGTTTGTAAAGTATATAAGAGCAAAAATGTAAATGAATAATAGATAAAATTATAAATGCGAAAGTTTAGATGGATGGATGGATGGATGGATGTTTGTTAGCGTTTGTAGTCTAAACTGCTGAACGGATCTTCATGAAATTTGGCACAGGTTTAGAGCATAGTCAGGAAGAACACATAGGCTACTTTTTATTCCGGGAATAGTTAAGGATTCCGTGGGATTCATTAATTTCGTTTTTTTTATGTTCACTCGATCATTCTGCAACGGTTCAACATATCTTATTGAAATTTGGCACAGATATAAAACAAAGTCTGGAGTACATATGGGATAAGCTTCATCCCCGAGAAATGTCCGGTTCCCGAGGGATACATAGCTTTTTATAATTTATATAGTTCGTTGTTTTCTAATACCACGCGGACGAAGTTGCGGGCAACAGCTCGTAATAGATAAAACTAATCAATAAAAACTCTAACTAATAGAAAACAGTAAATTATAACTTATTCACACGGCTTTTAAAAAGATTAAAGTTCAAGCACCTTTTCATTCTTGAACGGTGTAAAAGATAGAATATAACAAAAAGGTTATATAGAAATGAGGCCAGTTACTGTTCCGTAACGTTTGGTACACAGACAGGGCACGCTACGGGACGGACATTCGCCAACATTGCCAACTCGTGCAAAAAGCTGGACGTAAAGCAACGAGTTTACATAAAGTCACTACAATCTAAAATAGAGTCTCCACTATCGTAAAACATGTAGATGAACACAGTTGTCGACCAAGAAATTTGTAAATGAAAATTTCCAATTGAAATTAGGAAACATAAAAATTTGATATTATAGTACTACACACAAGCTGTTAGTCATGACTTCGAGCGCGTGGAATTAACAAAATAATAAAAAAAGCATATATAAACATATGTTAGTCACTGCTAACGTAGCTTTTTAATGGTGAAAGAATTTTTGAAATCGGCCCAGTAGTTTTTGAGTTTTTTCCATACATACAAGAATACAAATCATTTCTATTTCATAATATTAGTATTGATACAGATACATACTAGTAGTTCGACCTATTAGCTATAAAATATTACTAAAACAAATCAAATACCATCGTATAGTCAAATATCATGGATACGATATCAAGCCATTATCAACCCGATACAATATCCATTATGTGAGGTGAGTATGTGAGGACGGCTGTCATCGTATGTGTCGTGTGTTGGCACCATGTGGAACGACCTCGCAAATACCTCACGACAATTAAAACGCATTAACAATGTGTATTCATAAAGATGGAAATGAAAACGCAAATTCTTGTTATTAAATCTAACGTCACACGACCTCAGAAAGTCATCTACAGATTAGTGTAATGGGCGTGGTACTATTAACAGATTCTATTACATATTAGGTATAAATATTGCCAGTAATACCACAAATATGTGTAATATTTAAATAAAATATGTTATGCTACTCGTTACAATATAATTGTCGTGCGGAGAGTAATGGACAACGCATGACCGTTTAATAATAACCACAACGTCATAAGTCTGCATTTAATTTTAGCAAAACAGTGACCTTCCCTGCAACCTACATACATTTAGGTTAAATACTTGCCTAGGAAATGAAATAGCTAAAGTATTTTCTTAATATTTTATTGCGGCTTTCGACTTTTGAGTCTAACCAAATTCTATATACTCATTCTTATGTTTGACGATAATTTTATCGCTAATATTCATATGCATATCTCAGCTAAGTTTAATACACTAGCTGTTAATTGCGACTTCGTTCGCGTGATATTAAAAACGTAACCTTTGTTACTCACTGACAACGTAGCTTTTTAATGGTGAAAGAATTTTAAAAATCGGTCCAGTAGTTTTTGAGTTATTTCAATACATACAAAAATACAAATCCTTATTCCTTCCTCTTAACAATGTTAGTATAGATAGACATAGATATTCAAAACGACTGTTTCGACTAAACACTCAAAACATATTATCCTTTTATTTTTTTTCTTTAAAAGGGGGGAGATGCCGATATGCTTTCATGTATGAGCTACGAGACTACAAACCCACGGGAATGGTGGCTACTGACCTCATAAGCATTAGGGTCGTCACTTTCAGCGATAGACTCGAAGAGATGTGACAGCGCGCGCGCCATGAGACCAGTCATGGTGTGTGTCTTCCCAGCGCCTGTGGCCCCGTAGGCGAACACCGCGCCCGCGATCCCTCGTAACGCATCTCCTACTAACGGGGCACATACTGCTTCGTACACCTCTTCCTAGACACAAAATAATATACTTTAGAACTACAAATTAGAAGACAGGCTGCAGTATTTGAGAATAGGTAAAAATCGAAGTGACAATGTCTGATAAAAGTTTACGTCTTTCATTGTCTATATGTTTGTCATCAGAACCTCCGATGCCGATTACCCCGGGTAATTCCCCCAAATTTGCTGTACAATGTGAAAACTGATACCTGTGTGCTTTCCTCGCTGAAAACTTTGTCATATATGTAATGCTTGTCGTTGACTCTGCGTTGACGGAGGACGTCACGTCGACTGTCGGACTCCTCCTCCAGCACCAACATCTATTGAACGTATAAATTTTCAAGAACGGGGACTGGCCAATAAATCATAAGTATCTGAGAAGATTGAATCTTAAGTCTTGTCGGTAAAATATTAGGGCCCGTTTACACCATACTTGCAGCAGTAAATGGGCCTTTATTGTTACTGGGTTTCCACATGCTGTCTTTATAAAAAACAGTTGTTTAAGTGATTATGATTCTGGTTATAATAACAATATTGTTTTAACCTTATCACTGACGACATGTACGATTCGTGGGCCCTCATCATTCCGTAATGGCCGCACGCGAACTGCGACCTGTGGATACAATTTCAATATAATAAAGATGTTTATAAGAATTAAAAGTTAATAATAATTAAAATTTTAGTTTAGAGTTAAAAAGATATAATAGTCGAAAAACTCATTACTAAACTTACTCTATAAAAATGATTAAATAAATATGCAGAATAATTATAAAGTTATTCCATTCGCTCTTTTAAACAATAAAATCAACATGTTTATTGTTAACACACATCATGCAATACCTTTGCAACCTTCGCCTTTTTACTATAAAGACCTTGACTACTGGCCCCATTTTCGATAAAAAAAAACTAATATATTAAATTAAGCTGTTTTCTGGGATTCAAAAATTTATTTTAACATCTTCCACGTCGCTAGTTCTTTTTTTTAATTATACTCGACAATATATTAAATGGCAGTAAACGATTTAATGAAATTATGGTTAAAAATTTGTTCCAACTCGTCCTATATTGAATTTGAGTCCTTTTGAATATAGAATGATAAAATCTAAATACAATTAATTAAAACCAAATTATATGGGACTAAAATAAATTACGTAATTGATTGATCTTTTTGATAAAACATAAAACGCATGTCATGTAAATAATATAGATCACATTTCTTTCAAGTTTTGTCTGTCTGTTTAGCTAAATTACTAATTTTATTTAGTTGCACTGGTATGTACACATGTTGTCTAAAATGTATACTAGAATAACCGTAAACGCAACTACGGTCCAGTTCAGCAAAAATAAACATCATGAAATAACTCATAACCAGTCGAATTGATATCACCGGTAATAAAGATATAACTTAAAGTAACAATAATAAGAATAAGCATAAATAAGTCGGCGAAAAAGAAATATCTAGTAACGTAAACAATGGAAAAATTAATTACAGAATTTACAAGCATACGTGGGTTGATATTGAACATTTTATCTTAACAGATAAAATAAAAGAGATAACGGATTTATTTCGCAAAGATTTATAAATATTTATGCCGTAAACGAAAATAATTATTAAATAACACTTATCGTAAGATAAATTCCAAACCGTAATCAATAGTTAGTAGACATAGTAACATCTACGTTTAAAAAAGTAATATTCATTACAAGGTGTACTCGCTACTTCGCTCGCGTGAAATTAAAAACTATAACCTACGTTACTTACTGATAACGTAGCTTTTTAATGGTGAAAGAAATTTCGAAATCAGCCCAGAAGTTTTTGACTTATCAAAATACATATAAAAATCCAAAAATACCAATCTTCCCTCTTTAAAGTTTTAGTATATATTAACAATATTACCATAAGTTTTTCCTCACTGACAGTGCGGACGCCGTTATGAAGTTTTTCGTTGCTTGATGTACTTTGTGTCATTGCATCGTTTTATCTAACAACACAACACTACACTTTTACCATCGAAAGTTTTACAGACGGAAATATTTGTCATTAATGTAAACGCGGGAGCAATCAATCAATTTAAATGCGTACATTTGTTTATGAATTAATAAACGCTACACTTTCACGATCGTTAGTAGTAGTTAGATAGTACTTTGTGCGGGTAGTTTTCAATTCGGAGGCTCCACATGGACTGCGAGTTGATCCAAACTTAACCTTCGCCAGGCCGGTCGCCTAGCAACAGCTAATGACCACAAATGAATTTTTCATGCGACTTAAGTTAACCTTTTTGGGGAATTAGATATTTCACTTAAACGTAAATTATTTAACTTAATACTAAACGTTTTTAGTTAAATTTTGTTTTAATTTAAAAATGCTTTGATGTATATTGGAACCACATAGTTAATAACAATAGTTCAACAGTCGTTTTTTATTTATTTATTGTTTACAGATAAAAATCCAATATTATGTTAGCAGTTAAGTTAGTTAAGCTACTTCCGATTCTGGCGTAGTTAGTTCTATGCTGCGTTGATCCTTTACTTGTGTTACTTTTTCAAATTCTCAGTACTAAAAAAGATGGCTAAAATGCAGCATTTTTTTCTTCATGTATGAAGTAGAACTGAATTACTGTTTTCTTTGGAGCCTTTCATTATGTACTTTAAAATATGTAGTAAAATAAAACAAAGTACTTTTAACAGAGTTTTTTTTAAAAATTTATACAATTTAATAAAAAATATGTATTTTTTGTAAAACTTACTTTTTATTTATTATAGTTATTTACATTTATTCACTTCCATACATACATTTGTTCTAATTTACAATATCTTTAAATTTTTATACAGTACCAGGTGCAAGAAGTTTTACACCTCTGTCAAATAATTTAAACAGATATTGGGTTGGTTTTATATCCAACATATTCATATGTTCATTATCAAATTTTTTACCAGGATGTTTAATTGTCAAATGGCCTGACACATCGCTACTCCATCCTGATGCAAGATTCTCTACTTCTACCACCGTAAATGCTTTATGTGAAAGAAGATTAGCTAAAACATATGTCAGATCATGTTCAATGGCTACATTACAGTGACAAATAAATAATGAATTATACTCTGTAATTAATTCAATAACTTTCGAACAAATTTGATTAACTTCTTTAAGACTGTAATGCATATCTAACAAATGTGATACCCCATCAAATATAACATTAACAACATCATATTTAGTCCTCATATATTCAAATTTATCTTGAATATTTTGAAAAACATTCTCCGGAGACAAATGTTCATTGTTCAGCATTTTAATGACATATTCATCACCCAAATTATAGAAATTTATGAACCCATCGTCTATACATCTATTTAGATTGTAATTCATTTTCAAACCAACATTCTGAAAGTGTTTTAAAGAATTGTGAGTAGATATAATAAGTACTGCACTTTTCTTTTTTATCAAATGTCCAAAAACACAACTGGTTATAAAGGAACTACTACAATTATTGATTTCCTTAACCACTAACACTCTACATTGAGTATTTTCCTTATCCAGGTCCAACGCCGAAATAACGTCTGTTGCCATGCTGAAAATGAATATTCAAAAATTTTATCATCAAACGTGCAGAGAAAATTATGACTTGACATATCAAGAAACACTATAAAATATAGTTTGCAACTCATTACACATGGGAGAGTGATTACTAGCTCGCGTCCTCAGCGCCCGTGTTACTTGCAAGGTTAAAACTCCGGTCTAATATTACATAACCCAATAGACAGTCAGTCATAACTCCAAAGCGGTATAATTAAGACCACTCACATGTAAATAAAAATTCAGTGAATTTAATACAAAAAATAATAATAACCTAAACGGGTAAGTACCTTACTTAACAGATATCTCTTATCCAAATATTGTTTGATTGATAGAAAAGTGTATATTTGATAAGCAATAACTGTATTACAGCAATTATGTAATTATTTTTTTATTACAGAAAGATTAATTAATCAAAACAAATGAACGTCCTCCAAAGTTAAATTTTACTTTTGACGTTTAATGACGGATGACGTTTGTTATCAATTTCTTTTTTTATCAAATCAAATCAAATGGCAGTTTATACAAATGACAGATGTGATTAAAGTTATTTTTTTTTATCTTTAAACACTCGATTAATTTAAAGGAAATTCTTTAAAATGATTACAATAATGTAAATAAAAACTTTAATAAAGAGACATCGTCGACGCCTGATTAAATCGCATTTTAAAATCGGGAGTAAACGGAAAGTAACTGTTTTTAAATCATGATTTTTTTTTTCGAACATACAGTAAACACTTCTTTCCTATTAAACTAATTAACATGGCCGATTATTAAACAAAAAAAACCGACAATTGTTGAATAATGTTAACTAGTTATTTAATCTATTACCCTATTGACAAATGACATTTGATTTGACAAAATGCCAAATGAAATTGAAATAGCGTTATCACGGAACGGACACGCTTAAGATCTGATAATGGGAAAATTAAAAATTGATATGTTAACAATTTGCGTTTAAATATAATTTAAATAACGCACTTGTATAGAATATTTGCTGTGAACGTACTAGTATATTAAGATAATAGTAGTTGTACAATTAATGTCGACAGATAGGTTAAAGATATATGTCCACAATTTGTGAAATTATTCCAGTAATATGAGTAAAGTAACAGAAATTAGAGTTTCACAATGGTACTTCGGGGGTTTGGCCTCAGCTGGAGCAGCATGCGTGACACATCCATTAGATCTATTAAAAGTTCAAATGCAAACACAAAAAGGAAAAAACATCTCAATGTTGAAGCTTACTGGAATCGTTTTAAAGAATCAAGGTATGTTAAACATTTTTTTATGTTAGTTATTGTTGTTTTAAGAGCGTCTCAATCTTAGCACTAAACATGTAATCTATTGGTCCTGGGTCAAATGTACCAATGTTAAGTTAGAATTTCATATGAACATCATTTACCCGAAGTTTTTATGGTGAAGAAAGACATTATGATGCAATCTGTACATTGGTGAAGAAATTCAATGAAGTGTGAAGTTAACCAACCTACAGTTGGCTAGGGTGGTTGACTCAGATGACTGAGACACCCCAAATTAGGGTATCCTTCAAGCCCCTCAGTGGGGATGTATAGTGAGCTGATGATAATTGTTTAATAAACATTAATTTGTTATTTTGTAGGAGTAATGGGCCTGTATAATGGTATATCAGCTTCACTTCTGAGGCAACTCACTTATTCAACTGCTAGATTTGGTATTTATGAGATGGCTAAACAGCATCTAGCTCCAAAGAATGTAAGTTTTGATCATTTATTAGTTTAAAAGACATGCCTTTAATAAGTGTATAAACATCAATATTGGTATATTAAACTAGGTCCTTTTATCTTGGGCATACAAAACAATTTTGTAATATGATTTGGAAGTACTAACTTACATAAAAATATTTGTTTATGTTTTAAATAAGACTCAACACATTCATGACCAAATTTTTAATTTAATTGTGGATTTTCCAGATAAGTACAATTAAACTAATTCCAAAATTAAGTTCTAAATTTGATTAGAAACTGAAAAATTAGAAAATAAAAAATACTTTTGCTTATTCTTCTTTTTACTCTTCTTTTTAGGGTCAACCAATATCATTTTTCATGTCAGCATTCCTGGCAGGTCTTGGTGGGTTCGCTGGAGGCTTTGTTGGAAACCCAGCAGATTTAGTCAATGTGCGGATGCAGAATGATGTCAAACTCCCACCAGAACAGAGGAGAAAGTAAGTTATATGTTATTACCACTTTGCATTTTTTTTTATCTATATTGCAATATATCTATTATCCCCCAGAGTTTATGATGTTAAATAAATGTCACATGATATCATCTCTCATATCTTAACTGTATATCAATTGTTGAGAGAATTTTTATCACAACATCAACCATCAATTTCATCATCTGAACCAATCATTATTAAGTTATCTCGAGTACATTAGATAAGATGCCTGATATCTATAATTATATATACCATCATGTTATACTTAAAAGCATATTTAAAAAATATTAGATTACATAACAAGATATAGTATGAGATGTAAATTGTTCTACTTGACCCTTGATCCTTTCTTGTATTAAAATTTATCCATTCTGTAAAAAAGGTGATAAGACATGAATATGTTTGTAGCTACAAGAATGCAATCCATGGTCTATGGAAGGTAGCCACAGAGGAGGGAGTGCTCCGTCTATGGGCAGGTGCCTCTATGACGTGCAGCCGTGCAGTTCTCATGACCATCGGTCAGCTATCCTTCTATGACAAGATCAAGGAACTTCTGCTAGCAACAAAGTACCTAGAAGATAATGTGTTTACACATGTTATGTCGAGTTTGTTAGCTGTGAGTACCTTATTGTCTAAGTTACTGTTTCCTGTGTTTTAAGGAAAAATAATAATTTAAAACAATCATACTTGGAATGCTTTAAAATATTCATGGTTTTGTTGTTTGACTATTATTTTTAAAATCACTTACAATAAACTACTAAAGTATTTTTTTATTTATTTTGGATCTGGCTCAAAGGACCAAGGAGTTGTGGTTGACAGTAGGATGTGGATAGTTTAATCACAAATTAATTTTTTCTCAAAGTGTGGTACTTTATTTGTGAAAATTATTTTTTATTTGCACCTCTTCAATGTCAACATTATCTTAGTTGTGTACAGATTATATATTTATATTTTTTTCAGGGTGGTATTGCAACCACTTTGACGCAGCCAGTAGATGTATTAAAAACAAGAGCAATGAATGCTAAACCTGGAGAAGTGAAGAGTATATTAACTCTAGTTATGGGTACAGCTAAAGAAGGACCGTTAGCTTTCTTCAAAGGATACATTCCAGCCTTCGCTAGACTTGCACCTCATACGGTACTCACTTTCGTGTTCCTAGAGCAACTTAGAATTAATTTTGGTACAATCAAAGTGCAAACTTTCTGAAATATAATAGACCATTAATAATTTGATATACCTGTTTGTTGAAATAGATGTAGGTTTGGACTGTTTTTTTTTTATACATTTTTTTAAACTATAAAATGTTAATCTCAAGTAGTGTAGTTCACTTATATACATATTAAAGTGTTCAAAATATTAATAACAATTTAGACATGTTTAATCGTTTTTAAGTAATATAAAATTTACAAGATTTTTTCATAGGAGTAGATCAATATGTCCAAATATTTCAAAGGGTACTAAGTTTTTAATGTTGTGGAATGTTTGTAGTAGTTTATGGTTAATCATAGTCTGAAAACTTTATATAAAGTAGATGCTTTGCGATTTTTTTTTATTCCATTAAGCTTTGCATTTTTTGTAGAACATATGTGATTCAATTTTTTTGTATTAGAGTGATCACATGTTTTTTAAATTTGTGAGATTTTAAAATAGGTTGCTTTGTTTGATATACTGGCCTAAAATCTGTGTTAATTATAATTTTATTCTCAAAGAGAATTAATTAATAAGAATCATAACTAAAAGTTACCCATAACATATTATTTAAGTTATTTTTTTTTGTATGTATGTACGTGTTTTTTTTTATTTATTTTTTTACAATTGATAATCGAAAGATCGACTAAAAACATTCAAAGGATTAAAAAATATTTAATGGTTAGCGTTTTATACTTTTTTTGGTTATTTTGTTTAAACATAGTTGCAAAAGGATTTAAATTCTTACTTTTTTGGATGTAGCAATTTTATTGTGATAGAAAGCCCATAAAAGATTAATTTATATTATCTGCATGTTGAAGTGATTCGTTTTTAATTGGTTTAATTTTTTTGTTATTTTTCATTGAAAGTAATGTTTTTTAGTCGTAGTAAAAATTGAGATGTTATTTCTTTGTTATATTCTTTTATTCTTATTTCTTTGCCGATATACTAGCCAAATGATTTAATTTATCATTTGAATCGACCATTATTTGATTTCAAAGTGCCAAAATTTAATTAAATGTGTTAAAAAACCATCTAAATAATGGTATGATTCCTTTTATAGGTCTGTGGAAAAATGTATCTTTTTTATATATTCTTTTTTATTTTAAATTTATTTTACATTCCGACATTAATATGGACAATATCTAAATGTTTCTAATTATTTTTTTATAATGATGTTAGTGCATTTGAATGTATTTTTTAACAAAAAAAACTTTATTTTTGACAAGAAATTCAAATATAGGGCCAATATTTTAGAAATATTTTTTATGAATGAATGAAATTAAATGTAATAGATAAAAATACCAACAAAAATACGTGAATTCGAAATGAAATGTAGAAAATCAAATGTTATAAATCTTCGCATTCCTACAACGTAAAATATCAGATATTTCTATATCTTATATAAAACAATGTACATCTTCCAATTTTTTTTTGTAATTCATATACAAAACTTGTTATCTAGTTAACTGTTATTCATATTATAAAAATAATAGAAATTGTATACAAATAAAAAAAATGTTAATTTTTTTTCTAGTTAAAATATACCCAAGGTTTACAATATATGTAAATTGCAGATTTCCAATTTATTAGTGGTTGTTTATTAAAATGTTATCAAAATATGTTGTTTTTCATTTATCGAGTCCTGATACATTACTGGGATAATTAAAAAGGCGATTATTTCAGTTTTAATATATTTATTTACAAATATCGAGAGTTAAAATTATCTTTGGCATGTTGTTTAATGTACATCTATATTTTTAAATACCAAATAAAGTGAACAACAAACAGAAGAAATTTACAACAAGAATTTAAATACATATAACATTTACAAATGCTCTTAATACTGTGAAATATATTTCGGAAATGTAACAGTTCACAATTTAACGAAAACTTTACAATGTCAAATATAACTGACCTTTATACATAATATTTTAGGAACATACTTTATTGTACATTTTTGCTCTTGCAAAGTAGAAAAATGCAATGGTTTTATAAAATTGACAAACAATGTTAAATTATACATAAATAAAATGTAGCCAAGTCAATAAGAGATTATTAAAAAAGTAACAATAATCCTAAAAGATTATTAACAATGAGAGTATTTTATTAATGAGTTAACATTATCATAAATAACAGCACATAATAAAATGCAAAGTATTTACAATTAAAGTATAATAAAACAGAATGCCTTCTTAGATTTTAAAAGGAATCCGAGTAACGTTTCTTTTACAACATGGAAATAGTAATTAGCATCTATTTCCACTATACCGCGGGACTTTAGTCCCTTAGTGAAAACAGGCACTTATAAAAACTATATAAGCAAAATTATTATATTCACATAGGAATAAACAAAAGGTATTTTCAACCAATCAATCAGGTAATATGTCGTGTGATAATGTAAGGTGATTTACAAAAAGCTTTGAGTAGTTCAAACAAAATTGATAGCAGATCGGCTCACGGTTCACGTGATTGAATCAGATGAGTGAGCAGATCAGTATATCTGCTCACTGATTAGCTCAATTTATACACATATAGTATTATTTACTATTTTACAGTTCCAAGCTCAGCTCCAATAGTACATAGCTGTGAGCTGCTAATTTTGTAGAGCCGCTCAATGTTTCAAGACTTTATGAGCTGACTTTTGACAGTTGGCTCTCTGAGCTGATTTACAAATGTATGAAGCCGATTTTTGTCAGTTCAGAGCTGATTTACAAATGTATAAAGCTGATTTTTGACAGTTCAGAGCTCATTTACAAATGTATAAAGCTGATTTTTGACAGTTCAGAGCTCATTTACAAATGTATAAAGCTGATTTTTGACAGTTCAGAGCTGATTTACAAATGTATAAAGCTGATTTTTGACAGTTCAGAGCTGATTTACACATGTATAAAGCCGATTTTTGAAAGTTCAGAGCCGATTTACATATGTATGAAGCTGATTTTTGACAGTTCAGGGCCGAGTTACACATGTATAAATAGACAGGTAATTATTTGGAAATGACATCATTTGCTTTCATCCAAGTAAATGTTTTGATTGTTATAAACAGTCCAGTATCTATTATTAGTTCTAAAATTCAACAAAATGAAAATCAAATAGACACAATTGTCCAATCCATTTATAGAGATCAATGTTTGTGTACTTACGGTAGAGTTGGTACATTAGGCAGTGTCTGCGTAGTGGTGCGGCGCGCGCAGCATGCAGCACTGGCCGTCGGGCTCTATAGTGATGGTGGCCGCGGACTGCATCCACGGCTCGCCGTCCACCTGCATCGCGCAGGAACCTGATAACTCGATCTGGAAATATTACAATGCAAATGAATACCAGATTGTTTGGTGGAATAAAAAAAGTAAGTATCCTATGTGTTCAGGTGATTTCGCTAGAAACTCTTAACATCCATCCATTCAAACTTTTACGTTTTAGTACGACTTTTTTTTTTAATTTCACGCGGATGTGACTTGCAAAAGTTAGTTTATAATATTAGCAAAATAATAAAACACTTCTTTGTTATATAGGATGTGGTTGTCCTCAGTATATTTTAGAATAATTCATTTTATAATAAAAAATCCTTAAATTTATCACACACTATAGGCTATCTATATCTTTTAACACTATTTAATTTAGAGAGAGGAAAAAACCGACATTGAAAATTTAAAGGGACAAAATCTACAAGCCAATAGCAGTTGAGAAGCAAGATTGCAATATTAAAGATAATTGTTAGTTAATGGCTTTCTACGTTGTAATTTTTTTAATTAAATTTTCACATCTGCAAAAGCGAGTTCTACAATATTTTTTTTATAATATGCAGATAAAGTCACATGAGAACATATAATTTTATTATACTACGCAAATTATATTTTTCAAAGAAAAACAATTAATATTAATATTACCTTAAGCCGTGATGTTTGTGTGAAGCGGTAGGGCTCCGCAAGTCCCACCTGCAGCCTCGCGATATGAAACGACGATGAAATACCAACCACCTAAAGACATTAGCCATTTTAAATTTGGTACAAAAGACATGAAATAATCGATAAAACATGTATATTGTATATAAATGAAATTTACCTCTAGTTTTCCATCACTCACGCTTTGCTCAGGCATCTCTCCCTCATTACCCATATCTAGGAAATAAGACAAACATATTTAAAGAAATTAAAAAATACTAAAGATTAGTATAATATTAATATTCATATTTTAATCACCTACCGAATTTTACCATAGAAGGTTTATGCTGACAGTTTCTAACTAAGCAAGGAAGAGTTCAGTTAACACTGTACATGTGTATACAAAACCATAATTGAACAGTTCAACTGACAGTTAAAAATTTTGCTTACACATGCACAGTTAGCATATCAGTTCTCATCTAAAATTGTCAATCAAATGGAACTGCGAAATATACGACTAGCGGAGCGAGGCACAGTGGGTTAATCACGATTCACACAGACATTTTTATATGATGTTTTGAATATCGTATGTTACATTTACATAGACAGGCAGGTACAGCGGGCTAAATTCTCGGTTTACAGACATTATGATTTATACGTAACAGGAACGTAAAAAGAAAAAATCGTGCATTTAACCCTTAATTTTTTTCTTTTTAAATGCCATAAATTTAAACGGGTAGTAAATTGTAGTAAATTGAACATAGACTAAAGGAGAAAACGATACTTCAAAATAGTCTATTGGGTAATGAAGGCAACACCATCATATAAAAATGTCTATGTAAACTGAGATTTCAGCCCACTGTGCCTAACACCACCTTATTCCTAGCAAGTGACCGTTTAAGGGTACTTACTCCATAGATGCACGCCCGCGCCCCAGGAGGGTATGTTGAGTGCGACGAGCGCCTGCAGCGGCGGCAGCGGCAGC